ATAAAAATTAAGAGTAGATGCAGTAAATTAAAAATAAGAATAAATAAAGTGTGGTTTCTACATTCAACTATAATTTTTTTATTTGCCTAAGATTAATAAATATTATTTTTATAATTACTTCAAGTGGAAAAATGTGGAAAATTACTTAAAATAATTATAAAAAAATATTTAAAAATCAATCATCATATAAATAAAAAAGATTATGTCTTTTAAAGCTATATTCAGTTTTTATATCCAGCTTTTACAAAGCTAATATTGAATGAAAAATTTAATTTTTTAATTAGTTGTCTTTAATGTTTTTCATTATTTCTTTATTGAGAAAATTCCTAAAAAATTAAAAAAAAAAATTAATTTAGCAAAAATTAATTAAATCTTACGAATACCAAGTTAAGTTAAATTAACTGAAATTTAACAAGCTTTTGACCAGGTTTATTGTAAGGTAATCTAAAATTCTTTCTTTTACTTTTTAAAATCTTTAAAATTATAAAATAAATATCATTGATTTGCAAAAAATTATTTACGTTAGAGTTAAATCTAATTGATATCTTTAATCAAACTGTTTTAGAATATCAATTAATTAAATAATACTCAAAGAGTATTTTGATTCTATGTTTATGCTATTAAATTAATTAAAATAATTACTGATTAAATAATTAAGCAAATTTAAGTTATTTTATAAATAAATAATTATAAATAATATCTCTTTTTTTAACATAATATCTATAAATAGTATTACTTTAAAAATGATTAAACATAATTAAGGTATCTTTCTTAACAATTTATTTAATAATAGTTCTAAGCAGTTTTCTTAAAAATTTATATTTATAGATTTATAGTTTATGCTAAGATAAAAGATTTATTTTACATAGTTGAGAATAAAGTCAAATTAAAAAGAAATTACGTTATTTTTATTATTATTTTATCAAGGTTAGTAAATTGACTTAATATTTTTAAAGCCTCTAATTATTCACCAAACTATTCGTTACTTTTTAGAAGATAAATGTTAATTTTTATATGAAAATTATTTTTAGTTTATATTATACTCAAAATTTATTTAGAGACTAGAGAAATTGGCTGTTTCAAAATAATTTGAAAACTCTTTAAATATATGTGGACTATTTATTTTAAAAAATGATATACCTCTTAACCTTAATAATAATAATTTTACTTTATGCTAATTATCAGATTTCCATTATAATTTTTACAAAGTTCTTAGAGAATTTATTTCACCTAATTTTTTTTTTCAGGTTATGAATTTTGGTCTACATTAATGAACCTGATTTAAATATTATCAATATATGAATAAATTCTTTAAAGTAAATAAATTTTACGCATTATCAATTTCCAAAAATGATAAATTTTTCATTACTTTGTTTAGAATATCATAAAATTTCTACTTAATGTAAATAGTTGAATCAAACCTTTTAAATAATTTTAAGATTAATTTGGTTATAAAACTAAATTAAAAGTTACTTGAATGTATTCTTTATAAAATGCAAAGATGAAATATTTTTTCCTGATAGAAAGAAAAAGTTATCAATAGTACTTATATCATAAATGTTTAGATCAATTTCACTCCTAATAAAAAAGTATGTTTAATTGTTAATTCATAAAAAATGAAATTATTTATTTACATATTAATTTTAAGCTTAATGTTACAAATATCTTTGAGAAAGTTAAAAATATTTATATCTATTATCAGTTGAGGTCTAAATTTTATCTCAATAGTAAGATCAATATTTTTATTTCCAAAATATTATCTTAGTGAGTTATTGAATAATTAACTTTGATTTATAGTTATCTTAAGCTTTTTAAGTGTAACAATTTAGTTTAATATCTCAAAATAATTAAATTCTTTATCTAAATTATTATTTTGATAAACAGAAAAGTCTAATTTTACTATCTCTAGCTAGTTGAGCTATTATAGTTTGCTATAAAATTATAAAAATTGTAAAACAATTATGTGGCAAGTTAATTAATTACTTTTTAGCAATGTCAAGGTTTTATTAAAGCTCTTGTAGAAAAGCTCCATTTTAACTTTAAATAAATATTAATAAGATAAATGCTTTTTGATTCAAACGAAATATTTACTCAATTTTTAATGATAGCTTTTTGGTATTTGTAGGGAATCTTTGTAAAAAAATTTAAATTAATTATTTTACAGACAAGATTTATTGTTGTTATTTTAAATCTTTCTTAAATATCTGCTAGTATTCATTTGATTAATCTTTTTCAGAGAATATAAGCTAGTAACTATCAGAGAGTTATAAGTTATAAACTAACCCTTAAAATAAAGTATCTTCATTTATTGATGTTGAAATTTTTTTAAATATTAAATCAAAATTTATATTTAAAATTTGTGGAAGCTCGTAGTTTGCCATAGAGGATAGGCAAGCATTAAAAATCTTGAAACTAATTTTTATTTCATAGAATTTAAATAATATTTTAAAATAACAATTTTACTTATTTATGAAGAGACTCTTCTTATCTTTAATCATATGTAAATAAAATTTATCTATATTCTGATCTTCTGTTTTGTTTTCTTAATTATTATCTACTTAATCAAAAATACTAGCTTTCTATTACCTCCATTTGTACTGATATTTTTTAGTAGATTCTTAATTAGAGTCATCAACATTATTATTATTATAATTATCTTATTCTGTAGATTATTGTTAAATTACTTGATTATTTTTTTTGTTATATTTTCTTTTACTTTCTTAATCGAAGTCTTGTTAGTCTTAAGAATTGTTTTGTAATTATCTCCATATTTATCTTTATTTTTTAGTAATATCATAGCTATTACTATTTCTATTACTACCCTTTTATTCTAAAGAAACATATTTACTTGTTTACAGACCATTTTTATCATTTTAATAAGCTAATTTTTAGCTTTCTTAATTCAAGTCTTATTGATCAAAAATATTGTCATTCTATTCCCTTCTTTTAAATCTAATTTTTTTAGTAGAGTCTTAATTAGAGTTATCAACATTAGTGCAATCTTATTCTAAAGAAACCTAAGTATTTTAATAAGAATGATTTTTATTAAGTTGATAAACTTATGCTTCTTTGCTTTCTTCATTGGAATCTTATTATTCAATAACACTATCTTATTAATCCCTCCTTATGTATATAAATTTTTTAGTAGAATCTTAATTAAAGTTATCAACTTTAGTATAATCTTATTTCAAATACATTTATTTATTTATTTGCTGACTCTTTTTATCAAATTGATCAACTTATGTTTTCCTCATTTAATTGAAATCTTATTACTCAAAAGTAATTTCTTGTTGTTCCTTCCTTTTATATCTAGCTTTTTTAGTAGAATCTTAATTAGAGCTATCTACATTATTGCTCTGTAATCCAAAAAAATCTAATTTATCCATCATTTGAAGAGTATTCTTATCATTTTGATATATTTGTCTTTTACTCTCTTAACTGAAATCTTATTATTTGAAAGTACTGTGATATTATTATTTCGATTTAGATCCATGATTTTTTGTTGAATCTTAGTCATTGCTTTTTCTATTTATTTTGTTTTATTCAAAAGAAAGTTATTTACTTACTTAAAAGCTGTTATTATCACATTGATAAACTTAATTTTCATTCTCTTAATTCTAATCATATTAGTTAAAATTGCTGTCTTATTACTCCCTCCTTTTGTATCTCTATTTTTTTTGCTATTCTTACTGAGTATGAAAATTATTTATATTCTCTTGTTCCTCAGAGATTACTTACGATTTAGGTATGAAAACAAACTTTTTTTTCATTTTTTGAATAATAGCTTTTTTTATCAAATAATCAAATAATTTATTGAATAGAATAATATTTTTAAATTTACAAGTAGAAATTATAATTTTTTTTACTCAAATATGAGACTTCATCAAATTTAAATAAAATACTTTTTAGATAAATTTTAAAAACATAAATACATATATTAAATTTAAATTACAATAGAGAAACTGCCATAAATTATGTGCTTTATTATAAATATTTTTGATGTTAAGGACTTATTTATTTACTATATTACAAAATTTAATGTGTGCATACATAAAATAAATGAAAAAATAAATATACATTTTGTTTTTTTATAGTTAATTACAATTAAAAAAAGTAGGAAAAAAATAATATTTAATCTTTTTATACCATCAATCAAAATATTCTAATCACTATCTATTTATTTTTATGATTGAATAAAAATCAAACAAACAAAATTTTTAAATATATTCTTTGTTCATTCAACAATACTTCGTTGAAAGTTTTTCTTATAATTAACGAATTCTGTTTTAAGCTACTATCATGGCTTATTCTTCAGGAGTTGGTTGAGTATAGCCATTATTCATATTTAGGTTGTTCTCATCTGCCTATCCCTGCTTCCTTATTTCTTCAATATTTTTCTTAAAATTTTCTAGCTACTCAAATATATTTGCTCTGCTGCTGTTGCTATTACTTTGTGATTAATTCTGTTTTATGTAATCTTTGTTTTATAATGAAAGCTTTTCATATGCAGGAGTATATTTTTTAACAATAGAAGAGGGACTATTTAGCATATTGCTGAATGCTTGTTTAGTGCTTTGAGATGTCAATGAAAATGTCTTAAAGGATGGTGATGGTCCATGCAAATTAATTGAATTAGAAAGTTATATAGACTTCTATGTATTCAAGTCTCTTCCAGAAGGACTTAATTTAATTTTTCTTTGGTTTCCAGATATATTTTGAGAAGGTGAGTGGAATCTCTTGGATGAAGTCGTTTCTGCTGTACCATTAACTTTAATTCTTATATATCTACTTGGAGAAGGTTAAGTATTTTAGGGGACTACAGAAATAGCTTATGATTTATGAGAATTAAATATATCAGCTATGCTTTAGTTTATATTGCTATTAAGATAAAGATTTTATTTATTACTTTGAGGACTAGCAAAAATATTGCTCTGATGAATAAAAGATGAGCTAGTAACGTGCTGCTATTAAGATCCAGGGATTTAAATAGAAGGTCCAGTAGTAGGATCTTCTTCGTGAGCGGCAGTAGGGACTCTTGCTTAAGATGTAGCATTTGCGTGCTACTATATAATGTGTTCTAACAGTTTCTTTGTCTTATCTTACTATTATTTTTCATAAAATTTATGCTCTAAGCGATTAGGATCTGGTGTTTCGAGACCTTTCAGTCTAAATATTTCAATCTTGACTCTTTTAATAGAATCAATATGTGAGTAAAGAGTGTTTGTATCCAATTAAAATTCATATTAAACTTTATCTCTTATTGTATGGAAAAGATTTGTGTCCATCAATTGGATAGTTTCTAATATTTTAGTTTTGTTTTCTGAGTAATGATTAAATGCTCTTATTTCATTTTGAATATTTCTTTCTTGCTTATAATAGGCTTCCTCTAAATTCTTATCAAATTCCTTCAAAACTTGTAGGTTAGAATGAACTTTGCTTATTCCTTTATCAATTTCATTAAATTTATCTTCAACACACTCTTCAGCTGATTAAATTAACTCCTATTATTTCTACTAAAGTGCTAAAATAACTTCTTCAAAACTCTTTTGTATTTGAATCTTGCAATGATCTAAAACTTCGCTTAATTCTTTCTTTTTTTTATTTAACCTTGCATCATCTTAGATAAGTAAATCAGCTCTTGTTTTTATTTTGAATCTAAGGTCATCTATGGGCTTATTTAAATTATTAGATAGTAAATATAAATTTTATTAATTTAAAAACAATAATAATACTTCTTAGAGACTCTCATAAGCTTTGCTAACATTGTTAACATTATGATTTTTGTGCATTCCTTTGAGATATTCATCTAAGCTGAAGCACTGACATTCGCATGTGAAGCAATATAGAATAGTTTCATCGTTATTTTTCTCTGACATACTCTAATTTTATGATAAATTTTAACTCACTTTATTACCTCCCTCCATAGATTTTTTTTTATTCTTGCTAGCCTTAACATTCTCATGGAATTAGTTATCTTATAAAAAATTGGCAGATAGTGCTTGTTGTTAAGGGCTTGACTATGCAGAGTTATTGAAATTCTATTTATTAGAAAAGGAAGGTAATTGTTGATGTTGGAAAGTGTTTTGTCTATTAGAATAAGCCTAATCATTGTTATTCTACTAAGGTGGTTGATTAGCATAAAACTGTTATTGCTATTGTTATAGCTATCTATTAGGAATATTTTATTGTTATGCTAAATGCTACTACTATTAATATTGTTACATATACTATTACTATTATGATAATTACTACTACTATAGTAATTACTGACGATAAAAGTTATCTTACTAAATGTTATTTGCCTGCTATTCATTTTAGTAGATAGCCCTTTACTAATTTTAATACTAGTCGTTATATGTATCATAATCATTATTAGCAGAAAGAAGAACTTTTATTGACTCTTCTGGGAGAGGAGTAGATTAATGGCAATTTTCGCAATCAATGCTATGTATCAAATCTTAGCTTTAGTCGTTTTACTACTTTTTAAGTAAATTTTTGTATTAATTAGATGCACAATTAAGACATAAATGATGCTGACACTCCATCATTAAGACTTCTTCAGCAAAATTTCTACATTTAAAGCATTGATTCATTTCTTCTTAATCCTCTTCCTCTTCCTCCTCTTCATCTGCAAGCTATTCACCTTCTTCGTTTTATTCTTACTGATTTTCTAAATCTTCTTCTAAATCATCTTCCTCTTATGCAGCTGCTGCATCATCATCATCCCCCTCTTCATCATCTACTTCTTCCTATCTCTATTACTCTTCTTCGTTATATTCTCTTCTTAGAATACCCTCACCATCTTATTTTTATTAATTTCCTTATTTAATCTGACTGAATTTTTTGTGACTGTTTAAATTATGTTCTTCATCTTCCTCTTCTTCAACTTCATGTACTTCTCCTTAAATTTGTTAATCTTAGAGACGTTGTTATAGTAGTTAATTTTGGCGCTTTTATTATTACTCTAAAATTAGTTTTTCTTCGTTATTGCTGTGATGCTCTTATACTTATTCTACTTATTACAACTACTATTGTTGTTGTTATAGTTATTGCTGCTATTGTTGCTATGAAAGCTTGAGATTAGGATTATAGTTTGCTCTTTACTAATATGAAGTACTATCTTTTGATTCTTGCATAAATTAAACTTGATCTTCAGGTTATTAGCTCAAGTAGCTGTTAGATAGTATAGAGTAAAACTACTGGTTTTAAGAATTTGTAAGTAAACCATGCTATTAAATATTTTATCCCTAAAATTATTATGCCTGCTATTGCTAAACTTAAGGCTATTGGAGTTAATTTTGCTATTAATATTGCTAATTTTTAAACTGCATATTGTATTATTCAAAATTAGTGTAGGGGACAGGTTTTTAATTTTAGATTGGATATTACGAAGGATAAGGCTGATTTCCTGTGCTATTTTGCCCTTAAGATAATCCTTACTCTCCAAAACTTATATTTTTCATAACGGGTTTATATTTTCTTATTGATTTTAAAGCTTTAGTTTTCTGCTTTTTTTAAAAAAAGTAAAAGTTAGTTTTAAGATTTTGAGTTAGATTCTTTTTATTATCTTATTTATTTTTAAATTATTTCTAAGTTTTATTTATAAATTTTAAATACTAAAAAATATATGAAATTTTTCTATTAATTCAAAGTAATCTTTGATGATTAATTATCAGCTCGATCAATCGAATATGCAAATTTCATTCTAAAATTAATAAAAAATTTGTGAAAAAATTAATTTATGGATATTTCCATCTAAATTTTTTGAATTTATTTTTATTGTATCTTATAAATAATTAAAATTCATAAATCTTTTTTATATTTCTTTTTTTTTCTCTGTGTGTAAAAAAATAAGAAAAGAAAAATTATATTTAAAAGCCTTTTGTAATTTAAAATAATAAATAAATATAAAACCTGCTTTGCATAATTATAGCTTTAACTAGCATCACGCATATCTAAATAATCAGCTAGTTTTTATGAATTTAAATATCTTTATTTTCATTAATCAAATATAAAAATATTTATTTAACTAAAATTTCTTCAGTTAAAATTTGATGAAAACATTTTTAGTGATTTAATTTATTTAATTTGAAAAATAAATTTTAAAAAATCTATTTATTAAAAATATATAAAATTATAAATGAGATAAATAAATTGTATATTTTTAGCAATAGTCGATTAATTTGTTTGTAATGCAAAATCATTTGAAAGTCTTATTTTCAAATGTCATCATAGTCTTCTTAGTATTTTTCGTCTTCTTCGTCTTCATCGTATTTAACTTTAAATGAAGAATCCACAAATCTATAGCAATTTTGCTCTATATCTTTATGTATCAATTTTTATTCTAACTTTTTAAATGAAAGGTATCCTTTGTTATTAGAAGCACTTTAAATGAAGTGACCTATTTGAGAAGAACCTTCAAATTCATAATTTTCTAAGCTTTTCAATACAGACTCTTTTTTAACATAAACATCATCATCGAAAACCTGCTTATCTTGGTTATCAAACCCTAATTAAATTAAAATTTTATTTTTTTTTATAATATTTTAAACTTAACAATAATCACCTAAAATTTTTTTAATCTCTCCACGAGAAGCACTTAAATAATTCAATAATCCTTCAAATTATTCTAATAAATAGTCTCTTGTAATAGGTTAGTTTGTATAGTTATTGATTTCAAAGAACTTTTATAATTTAACTAAAAAAACAAATAAAAATAAAAAAATTTAGATTAAGGTAAAATTATACCATCAAAAACACCAATATCCCAATAAAGTTATTATGAAAGGTCTGCATTTTCGATCGAAGGTATTTAGAGGAAAGTCGTACTGGCTTATGATGAGGCATATACCTTTAAGTTATTGCTGTTAAATAATTTATTGTTCAAAATCTTTGCATAAATTCTGTAAACTCCTGAGGTATATTCTAATTAATAATTAATTTTATTTTAAAATGTAATTTTTTGTTAAATAAAAATTTACTCTTTGATTCTTAAATCCACAACCCTATTTTAGAATTGCTAATTTCATTTTAAACTATAATGTTATCTGAATTTTCTTAAACACTCTCATTATCTGGGGTAAATACACTAAACTATATAATATTTTAGCTACAAAATCCTGTTAATTTTATTTCACTGCTCTTTTTAGGTGGCTTAAGCTAAGCTTTATCAGCTTATTTTAGCTTTTCAATTTTATTGAATGAAAGCTCGTCATTAAACTTTTCAGGAGATGAAATCTATTACTTTAATAAATATCACTTTTCACTTAAAAAATGCTAAAAAACAAATAAAATTTCATACTTGCTAAATTGAGTTCTCTTATGAACTTTTTTTAGCAGGATTGCTGCTAGGAGGTCTGGCATGTTACTTTTAAGATTATTTTGGAGATTCAGAAGCAGATTAATTATTATTCAACGAACCATTTGAAAATCTAGTATTATTGTTATTTTATTGTTCTTGGATTTTAACACTTGCTACTTAAGGAGAAGTATTTTGATTCACCAAGCTTTCTTCTCCGCTTTGGTTAGGTTCTTACTATTTGCCATTTATCCTTAATATTTTAAATTTTAATTAAGTAAATTTCATTTATTTTTTTAAATAGAAACTAAATAATTAGAATAAATTCCCAAAAAAAAAAATGAATTTACTTAGACTATTATGACTCAGATGATTTTAAAATTCCTTTTCTTGCTGAGCTTGATGGCCTATTTTAAAACCTTGTTTTGTTATCTAGCTCTTTTTTAGGTTCATCATCTATGTATTTAGTTACTGGCGGGAAATCTAAAGTCTACTAACCTGGTTAAGCATAATATTATTATTCAATAGTTTGATGACCATCTTTTTCAATTTTAATCATGTATTGACCTGGCTCGAGTTAAATTTAAAATGTCCCATCAAATCCCTCTTCAACAATTGCTAATTTAATAAATTTTTACAGTTATAAAAAGTTTTTGTGACTAAAGCTTATTACGGTCTACATTGATTTAGTCCTTTTCATCATATTAATAAATTTTAATTAAAGCATTTTTTAGATGATCTATTTTTTAGTCCTTTAGAGACTTATAAGAGGCTGTGATTGTTAGGAATGTTAAATTAAAGTGTTATAATTCGAAATGGAGATCTAATCCTTATTAATTCTGCATTAGTTCAAATATATTAATTGTCTATTATTTTTAATCAATTAAATAACATTAAATTTCTAAATTATTATGTTTATAAATTAATTTACTTCTCTTAAACTTTTGAAATTATTTGTTTCCTTTACTTCAACAATATACACATCACTTGGAATCTACTCAAAAATTACTAAACCATGTTTATTTGTTTTTCCTTGGAAGCATTCATTTTTTTTGGGTATGTCTTCGCCCTTTCAGGTTTTTATAAATTAATTTAGTTGAAGAATTAAATAAAATTAAGTAGAATTTACGAAAAGAGAAGTATTGTTTTAAAAGAACTTTGAATCTGAGTCACTTCTACGTGAGATGCCACTTACAGGACGGCTTATCCTAGTTTAACTCATGTCTAATAAAAATTGATTAAATGAACTTGTTTATTTATTTGTTAATAAGTTTACTATTTGTATTCAAGGTGAGATTATTATGACTGCCTATAGACTGCTATTTTTCACGATAAGGGCGCATTATAACTTATATTTCGTGAAGTTTATTCTTCTTTGTTAAAAGTTCATCTTCTGGAATATCGGCTAAGTCAAAATCGCATAGAGTAAGCTAAATTGAAACAGTACAAGTAATCATGTATTAACAAAGTAAATTCAAAACTTGAGCTGAACTAGGCCACTTACCTGTTTTTAATTTAGAATGTATACAACCTTTTTTAGGTTCTCCTTAAGTTTTAGACATAACATATATTTCAAAAGCTCCTATTTTTTATAAATTAACAAAAAAATATTATTTAACTTTTAATTTTACTAATACATTATTTTGATTAATATTAAATATAATAACCATATTAGCTAATATGTTTATAGAAGCATTACCTATCCTTTATCTTGAATATATGTTTTATATCGAACTAGCATTTTGATCAACTCTTACAGGCTTTAAGAATACTTTTGCTACAGGAAAATGTTTTAAAATAAGAATTTTATAATTATTAGCCAATCTGATATATTGCTCTTCGTCATGTTTAGTTGTTCCTTGATGGTTTTGGCAATCATTGCTATTATTAGACAAAAAGAATAACTTAAGCTTGTTATTGAATATTTTTTATTCAAAAATATTTAATATAAATCTATTTAAGTTAAGTATTACCAATACTCAATAACTACAATTACATCTCTATCTTTCACATTCTTGAATTCTGGGTAAAATCTTACATCTTCCTTTTCTCTTTATTCTTTTACTTTAGCCCTTGTTTCATTGAGCTTTATCTAGTATTTATCTTTAACTATAAAGCCTAATCCTGAGTCATTGAAATCGTATTTGCTATTTATTTAAAAGTTAAAAACATGAATGACAAATTAATTATTTGAAAAGTATTTGCTAATAAGCAAACATTTTTAATTTAGATATTGCATTTCATAATAACTGTTTAGTTATTTGACATTCTAAAGATTTATTTTTTTATTATAAGACTAATATTATTTGGCAATTATTTCTAAATATTTACTAAGGAGGAGTTATTCCTATCGCTTTCCAAGGATTGGCATGAGGTTCATGAATATGATTGTCTAATAGTCTAGATTCCAATCTATAATTATTTGTGAATTTAGATTATCATCTGAAATTAATTAAATAAATAGTTGAATAGTTAATTAATGATACTTAGATTAGTTTTGTGTATATTTCTCCCTAGCATTTTTGATCTAGTAAAGAGATGATATTCTTGAAATGTTAGATTTACTCTAGTTACCGCCTGCTGATTAAAGTTAGGGTCTCCCTAAATTTTTTTAGCTTTAAGTATTATTATTCATATATATTGTAGATTAGATTTGTAACAACAACTAGTAGCTTTGTATGAATGGAGCTATTTATTCAAAAATCTTGTATACAAAGAAATTTTGTTAATAAAAAAGTCAAACTCTTATCCTTATATTTGATTAAAAATATGATATTTATTAACTTAATTGATTTATATAAAATAAGCAAAATATGTTATATAATTTACAAACAAATTTTATTATTTTCCTAATGAAGAGTAAATAACAATTAAATTTTGATAAGATTTAAAATTCAGTGAAAAAATCATTCAAATCTATTATTAATGTTATTATTTAAAATAAAATCCCATTAATAAATATCTGATATTACTCATTTATTCTTCCTTCAATTTGATTTATGCAATCTATAAATTAAAATTCAGTCATACTTTCTCTAAATTTCATATAAATAAAATGGATAAAATATTTTCTTGAAAAATAAATTAAATGATATTTCCCACAAATTTCATTAACTTCAACTTGACTTAAACTTTTTACTAAAATCGCTAGTTCGCTAAATAATAAATGTAATTCAAAAAAGATAAAAATTAAAAAATTAGATAGTAACTTGATTAAATATGGGTTATCTTCAAAAAGAAATATTTCATTTAATTTATTAAATTTAAAAGACATTTTAGTTTATTTTTAATCAAAATTATTGTAACATTATGAAATAAAAAGCATTTTATTTTTTAGTTTTAAATAATATCTAAGCAAATATAAAAAATAAATTGTAAACTTAAAGTTTTAATATTTCTTTTAAAGAAATTTGATAATATTAAAATAAATTTTCAAAAAGTAGTATTTCATTAACTATAAGAAGGTATTTTATTACATTTATATTTTAAATGATAATATCAATAAATAAAAAGCATTTTATTATGTAGTTTTTAAAACACACAAATGATAAATTTATATTTTGAATGTATCATTTATTTATTTATTGAAAAAAATGAAAAAACTAAAGAAAATTTAAAAAATAAATAATTCAGTTCAAGAATATTTTATTTTGTAGTTTTAATTAAAATTCTATGTAATTAGTATTTTAATAAATAAATACACAAAATAAATTAATTTAAATATATCTTTTTACTAATTGAAAAATTTGATAAAATTTTAAGAAACTTTCAAGATTTATTTCATTTGCTTGATATATTTAAAAAATATTTTAAAATATTAATATTTTATATGTTAAATATAATAAATAATAATCATTTTATTTTGTCTTTTAATTAACATACTATCTAATAAAAAAGTATTTAACTCAATAAACAAAATAATAAAATTATATTTTAATTATTTTCTTTATTTATTCAAAAAATTAAAATTTTTTCTTTATTTATTTAATTTTGTAAAAATTTAATAACTTTTAATAAAAATAAATTGTTTTTAAAATGAAATTAAAATAAAATAAAAACTCTAAATTATTAAAATATAATTAATCTTTACACTTTGTTTCTTATTATAAATTACTTTAAAATAAAACTCCATAAATTAAAATATTTAATATAAATAATGAGTTTAATATTTTTATTTTTAAATTAAAATTTATTGATTTATTAAATACATTTCTTCAGCCAAAACTTTAATTAGCAAAGCTTATGCCTGCTTATTAGTCTTCTTCCTATTGTAATTAATTCTCTTCATTCTATTATTCTTAATTTTAATATTAGATAGGTTCATATTCATCAATTCTTTTTTCATCATTCTAATAAACTAAACCACAACCACCTTCAAAAGAAATATTTATCTAATTGTCTCCTGAAAAGCTTTGTCTATTGTTATTCTAACTTAATAATTAGTTTTATTACACTTGATTAATATCTGGGATTTATGAAAAAGAAGAGTTGGTAAACTAAACATGTGCTGCTTAATCTTCTTATTCTTCTTCTTCTTCATTTTTGTAGTTGTTGTTAAAACTATTATTAAACTAATTGAAATTAGAGCTTTCTTTTAAAAGATTATTTTCGTTTGATTGTATTTAAGATTGTTTTTTGTTAAAACTATCATTCATATTTGGACTATTACAACCACTGGCTGTTTTAAAACAATAACTAGATTTACTACTTACACTGATTATTTCTTCATTTTGAGATTTTAATCTTTAATTTTGTTCAACTACATTTTATACATTCATCATGTTGCTATTAAAATCAGATTATGAAAAGATTTGCTCGTTGTTAGATTACTGGCCGAAACAACATTCTTTGAAACTATTATCTATATTCTAAGAGTTAGCTTCAGCTTCATTGGATCCTCCAAAATGAGCAAATCCTGTATTAAAACTATCATTCTGATTAAATGGATTATTACTGCATTTATTTGATTAGCAATCTTCTTGGTCAGTTGAGAATAGTCTATTCTAGTATCTCTAATTAGGTTAGTTTTCTTTTTGATTTGTTAAAGTTTAGTTTTAGGAATTAGTTGGTGTAGCTTGAGTAAAGGCTTCACTTTGTTTATGTACTTATTAGTTTTAGAATTCATGTTTGATATTTTCCTCTTAGTTTTCTACAGTTTATAAATTTGAAAAAGATCCTTAAATCCCAAAATTAAAATGATTTTCTATAAATTTATTTTATTCGCTATTGTTGACATTGAGATTTTAATCATAATTGTGTTTAGTAAAATCTAAACTCTACTATTGTATTTATTTCGGCCAAGAATGATCGGAAAGTTAAATATCTTTATTTGAAAGATTTTAGACATGCTGATTTGAGCTTTTCTTAGAAATTTACTTTAAAAGCTTAGTACTGTCGTTAAGTGGATCATTCTCTTAATCTCCATTATTTGGGCTTTAGTTATGATTTCCTTTTTGTTGATCTTTATTGCTATGCATTTTTTAGCTGCTTTATAAGCTCTTAGATCCATACATCTCTACTTAAATAGAATTATAATTTAAATATTTTTTATTAAGAGAATTTATCTAATATTTTCTTTTTAATAATTCTAATGAATTATCTTTATTTCCTGTGAAGTCTGCTGATTCTTCTAAGTCTTTGTGAGATTAAAATAAACAATTTTCCTATTTATTTGTTGGAGTTTCAGCTGATAATCCAAAATGTTTTTAAGGGAATACTGGAAGAGAAAGCCTTACTTATTGTTAATTTGAACATGAATTAGCAAATCCTTCTTAAGCATAATATGCCCCATTAAATGGCTATAAGCTTGGATGCTAAAGGTAATTATTGTTTTTAATCAAACGCTTTGGTGAAGAGCTATTTATTGAGTGGCTGCTATGATTAGCTACTGAAGGAGAAGATACATAATTATTTACTACATTAATCTTATTGTTGTTGTTGTTTTAAAATGATTACAAAGTTTTACCACTATTCTTAGGAGTAGTTTAGTACATTTGAGGATTTTAGAGAATATCTTAAATTTAATTTTTAAGTAAATCAATGAATTCATTTTTTTCATTTACTTCTTATTTTTAACTTTCTATTAAATTTTCAGATTCTTTAAGCAAATTTTAAAGAGCTTACAATTAATTATCCTTCTCTTTTAGGATTTAATTTAATTCGGAAATCCGAATGTTGGACTCTTTTATTGATTACGCTTACTAGATAGAGTTTTGTTTGTATCTATCTAAAATAATTTCAGTCTTTTTTTAGATGGATTTAAATTCTAGATTAGGATTGTATTAAAATTTATTTTATGAAAAACTGATATTGTTTTCGTTTTCAATTAGATTTGCTTATAAATTGTTTTTACTATTTGAATTCTATAGTTGACACTCGCTTTATGAATATAAAGATTACCTGCTCTTAATTTGAACTAATGACGAATTAAGAGAAGATACTTCAGCTCCATTATGACGTGAGTTGTTATTTTATTAGTTATCTTTTTGAAAAGCTTCTTTAAGTTTTTCTATTACTTGCTCTCCTTATCTTAAAACCTAACTTTTTAGCTAATTGAAAGGATTAATACAAACAAATTAGCTATTAATTTAGGTGATTGGTTAAGTTATCTACTCAACATTATAGTTTTAACCTACAAGAGGAGGAGATGTCTCAGCACTAGCTGCGTACAGTTTAATCTATGGAATCTCGCTCGTTTACATTTTAAGTTAATTCTTAATATTATAAGATAAAGCCATCGAAGGAATTTCTTCTAGTTTTTAATCTGATTAGGGATAATCTTTGGTCAGCTACTTTTATGTAGACTCATTTACTTAAGATAAGTTATTAAACTACTCTGTATTACTCTTTTAATGAGAATTTGAGTTGCTAGCAAGAACATTATCTTAAGCAGTAGCTTTTTCCAAAAAGTGTTTTTTATTATCCTTAATAAAGAGATTGTTGAACAAAGCTTAAAAATATTTTCCTTTATCTTAAATAGTCGCATTGCTGTTTAATTAATCTTCGTTAATTGATTTCGATTGGTTGATAGAATTTCCTATTTGCTAATTTTAGTTTTATAAATTTGGAGAGATGGGTGATGCAAACGCATTCTATGAAAGAACAACATGTTTATTAGATAATTGTTTAGAATTAGACATATTTTATGAAGAATTCTTGTTTTATATTGATTAATAGCTGTTCACCTCCTATATACTGCTCATATTTTTTTCTTAGTGTTTATTCTATCCTGTTAGCGAGCTATAGTTTGTTATGTTTTTAGGACTAATATAAGGAATGATCTCATCATTTTAATTTTTAAGATCCCAAAGATAACAACTACCTTCTGTAGAGGCAAAAACTTTTTTAAAAGTTTAATTTCCTTCAGGTAAAGAACTCTTTTTTTCATGGTGATTTTCTGCTTCTGAGTTTTAATTTTACTAAGAAACGTGGCTTTCTCTTTGCTTAGAGGAGCTATCTTTATTTGTATTTGCTAAATATTAAGAAGTTTGTATTTAATTTAATCCTGGCTATTCGAATAACTAATGCTCTTCATTCTTGTTGGTTTATTTATTTATGTACTTCATGATATTACTACTCAATAAATTATGATTAACAGAATTTGTTATTGAGCCTGAAGATTTTTATAAGGCAGATAAAGCTAGTTGTCCTTATGTTGATTAATTTAAAGCAGAGTTACTCATCAATATTTGAGGATAACCCTAACTATTTGAGTGTGGAGTTGACTATTCTCCCTTTCTCTTATTCTTTTATTAGCCATAATCATTTTTTTTAGAAACTCTATCCTCTAATTAAATTATAAAAATATAATTTATAAATATATTTTTTTTAAATTCTGAATAAAATAGCAAATATAATCATTTAACCTTTTACTTATTATTAAATAATTTGAATAGTAAAAAATAAACATTTTTAGAAAGAAAAAAATTTACTTTCTTTCATGAAATAAATTTAGTGCTTAGCTCCATCTTTACTTTGAACTGTTTAATGTTTATAGTGACCTTAATTAATTAATTTTCCTTGAGGAGTATTTGAATTAGAATTTATTTACTCTAACTGAGGTTACTAACTGCTTTTAGAGTTAATTTATGTGCTATTTACAAGTAAATTTATGGAGTGTTATAAAGTTTGTTAGTAATTTTGGATATCTTCTCTCTGAAGTGTATTTTATTAACTGTTTTTATTAGATTCCGAAAGACTATTTGTTTATTTATGTGTCTTCGATGAGCTTATTGGGGATATATTTGGCTAGTTAGGTTAACTGTTTTTTTCAGAAGACTCTCTTTTTTCATACTTCATCATGTCTTGCTAATTAATTTCTACCTTATTTATTATATCGTCTATGTTTTGAAGATTATTTTATTTACTTTATTAATTATTGATAACCTACTGATTATTTATATTCTAGTGAGTAGTTGCAGCTTTATTTGAATGAATAGGATCTGTAAGTGTATTTAGATTTTATTGTATTCTTTGTGTAATCGCTGTTAGAGTTTACTTTGATGAATTAGCTATTAAATGATTGTTAACATAACTATTAGATAATCCTTGGTTTGCCTGGTTATTAATATTTGAAATCATGTAATTGTTATTAGTATTATTAGATGTATTATTTAATTATTGTTAATTTGAATTTTAGTTATTTTAATGTAAGGTAATTCCATGTTAAGAGCTGGATAAATTAGTTTAAAGAGTAGAATTCTATTATTATTTTTTACTAAAGCTACCTCTGTAATTGTTATTTATTTAATTAAATTCATTATTTTTTTTATTTCTATTTTTACTAGTTTCAGGAATTGTTGTTGACACTTTTTTTAGTGGCTACTTATTTCCCACAGCTTTTTGAACTTGATGGACTGCAGTTTCTTATTATCTATTATGGGTATCTAATGACTCGCTTTATCCCCTAAACTTTTCTACACTATGGCTAGTTTGATGTTTTGTCATATTTATTTCTTACTTTTGGCTTGCTTATGTCTAAGTAGAAGGAGTCATAGTGTTAGTGATTTTTGTCTAAGTATTTATTAAATTATTTAACTATTCAGAAGCAATAGCACTGTTATGGGCATTATTTTATTGTTACATCAACATTATCTTACTGGCTTAGATTTATTACACATGCTATTAATACTAATTTTGTTGTTAATTTATTTATTGTTAAGCTGGTACATTTTATGAAACTATTTATCCAGCCATTTATTAGGACCTTAATAAATTTTTTTCGCTTCCATTCCTATTGTTACTCGTCATTCCTGCAAGGATATTCATATTTTATTCATGAATCATTTAATGATTTTAAGAATTTGAATTATATTCATTTTCTATTTATTTGAGGGATTTTGGTCGTTTAGACTGACTTAAAGCGTTTTTATTAGTATCTTTTACTGAACTCTAACTTGATCCTAAAGCATTTGTTTAAAGCTACTAAGAACTCTAGAGTTTGCTCCTCATTAATTTATCCTAGACTAAATTTGAAAATGTTCTAGGAGATATAGCATTTGACTATATATTTTAATTTGTGGTAGAATGTGTGCCATATCCTGTGTGGATGTTATGTACATTTTAACTATGAGGTTGTGTAGTAAATTATTAATTTTTTTATTGCTGCTATGAAGACAACTATATTTTTACTTTATTCATTAGCTATTGCTTTTAGGAAGTAGCACTACCTATACTGCTAAAATTAGAGCTAGGTATATTTGTATTATTGAATGAGCTTTGGCTCAATTGCACATTATTTAATGTTGCTTGTTTATTGTTATGTATATTTGCGGGGCTATGATTAAAATCTTAATTACTATTAGAGTGTTGGCTTCCACCTCCATCAAATTATCTAGCATCACTAGAAAGCTATCTTGGATTACTGGAGACTGATGTTTATCCATTTCTTATTAATTTCAATGTTCCTGAGGAGTATCTAGTAGATAATATATCAGTTAGTTTATAGTTATTATTGCTATTATTCATATTAGATTAAGCAGTTGAGCTATTAACTTGACTGGTATTTTTCTAGCTACTCTCTATATTTATAGGAATATTTTAAATAGAATTTATTGCTGTCCCAATATTTGCTGAATTTTAAAAAGCTGAATTTATACTATTCTAATTTTAAGAAGAATATAAAATACTTGAAACTTATACTGAATTTGTCATTGCTGTTTAGCTTTAATGAATTGCATTAATAGAATTTATTTAGGGACTCATAAATCCTGAATGCAAATGTGAATTTGTTCTCCCTAGCAATTAAGAGTAGTAATTAGAAGATTAATTTTTTTTAGGAGATGGCACTGAATGATCTAGAGAATTTTTATTATTAGATTTACTGCTCATGCTTATTAGTTTTTTATGATGTTTGTAATTTTTTATGCTTGATTTTAAAGTTGGTATTAAAGATTTTTTTATTAAGTTAATACTGCTTCTAAGCTATGGTTCACTAAAGCTTAGCAAAATCAATGTTTATACACTAAACCTCCTTTTGACTTTCTTGTATAAATAATTAGTATATTTTTAGTTATCTTCTATAACTTGTTCGTGCTAGTATATTATTCCTATTTATAATGCGCTTGCTTATAATGCTATAATGTGATGACTGGTTTCTTTATATTTCTTTTTTAATTTTAACGAAAAAAAAGATTGGAATTTATTATAAGTAACTAATATAAATGAAATTGTCATAAAATTTGTATAATCAATCTATATATATTAAACGCCTTATATTTAAATTAATTTTTTTGTTAGTTTTTTTATTTGCCTAAGCAGCTTAATAAGAAAATCTTAATATTGTATGAATATATTCTAAATATCATCAATGATTATTCTTAATAGACTTGAGAATAATTTAAATTTAATAAAAGTTCAGCCTTGTAACATTTTTATATAATTTAGGCAAACCAAATTCAATCAATAAATATTAATTTTTCAAATTATAGGCCAAATACTTCTCTCCAATAAAATATTCTTCTTTGGATTCATTTGAATATTTTTTTCTTGTAATATTTGATTACTTTTTTTATTTTTATTTATAAAAACAACTTAAAAGCTTGTAGATATCATTATTAATTTTAGTCAGTTCATTACATTCTATTAATTTATTTTTATTCAATTTAAATTAATTACTAATATTTATTGTGAAGAAATCTAACAAAAAGTATTTGTAAGAATTGATTCAATCAAATTATTCTCATTTTTTCAATAAATTATTATAACAAAAAATATTTATCTCATATGCTTAGCAATTAAATAAAGATAATCTAAACGAGCCTAATAAGTTTAGATTTGTTGATAGGATTATCAATATTTATTAAATAAATGTTTCTTGTAAAATTCTAAATTCAAAAGTTTTAGCAACAAAAATAATCTTAAAGTTGAGATATACATTTCATAAAAAATTAGAACAAATTTAATTATATTATTTTTATGAAAATGTAAATAATTTTAAATTATTTAATTAAATTTTGTTTTTCTTATTTTTAAAATAAAATTTTTATATTTAATATTTGAAAAATATTAAAATATTTACATTAAAATACTCTGATAATGGTCATTTTAACATATTTTAATTTAGTATTAAATACATATATTGTGACAATAAACTAGAATTAATAAAATATTTCTTCTCTTCTTCTTTATGACAAATATCTAACATTTATTTTAATTTAAAAATATAATTTTTATTATTAAAAAATTTTAAGTTTCTTTTGTTTTTTAAAGTTTACTTTTGTATTTTAAAATATTAATACTTTACTAAAAATAAAAATTTTTTTTGATGGATTTAATATTTAAACCTTGAAAATATTTTGTAATAGATATTTAAGATCTATTTAGATTTTTTAAAAATAAATAAATCATTAAAATAACCATTGAATTAAAATTAAATATATGTAGATAGATACTCATCATCTAACAAAATATTTAATTTAAATAAAGTATTTAAAAATTAAAGTCACATGTAAAAGCATGAAAAAAATAATTTATTTTCACAGAAAATCATCATAAATTTAATTGTAGCATTCTTAAGTAATTATTAAACAAATTTATTGTTTGATAATTAAATAAAAAAAGAATTCATATTTATTTAGCAACCTTTACGACCCGCTAATACATGAATGAATCAGAGGGAGATACTAGGAGCATGATATTGAATTAATGTGAAAATAAACAAAAATTAAAAGATATTCAGTCAAGAGTTAAAAGTTGTTGAATAAATAACAACTTTAAACTATATTTAATTTTAAAAAAGATTTTGGTGCTTTTTTAATTAATGAATTTTTTTCTAATTTAAATAATACATTAGATAAAAAAGCATAAATGTTTAGATGAATAGCATGCTCCTTCCTCCCTCGATTAGTGAGGGCAGTCGCTAGCGAAAAAGCCTTTCAGCTCCACAGGCACTAGCATTGCATTTTACCATTCATCAGAATACATATTACACATTTTTAGTTAAATAATTGATTAATGATTTTATTAAAGATTTTATCTTAAATTCAACCAACTCAGTTAGCAGAGGTTTCGAAAGAGAAAGTTCTGATGACACCATCGGTGAAACCAGCGAATAATTTCTTACCCAAAGCGTTCCAAGCCAAAGAGGTACATTGGGGATTCTTACCCTCTGTAAATTAATAAAAATTAAGTTAATAAATTATAATTGAATTTCTATAATAAATTAATTGAAAAGAAGAAAAAGAAGTTTATTTTACTTTGTCCTTCAGCCTTGGTGATGGGTTCAGCTTCAATGGTGCAGACGGGAGCCTTGGATTGAGTCATGAGGTTGAAGATCTTGACACCTTAGTCGGTACCGACGGCAACCCATTAGAGCTTGGGGTTGAAAGCGATTTGGTTGATGGTGGAACCAGCGTCGAATTCTCTTTGAGGATAGGTGAGGTTGAGGATATCCCAGATCAAGAGCTTCTTATCCTTACCACCGGTGGCGATGTACTTACCGTTGGGGGAGATGGATAAGTGGTTAACGTTGGATTCGTGAGCCTTGAAGGTGTATCTGATTTGGAAGTTGGTGTTCCAGACCTTCAATCTACCGTCCCAACCGACAGAGGCGAAGTAAGGAGCGAAGGGTTGAACCTTGTTGGCAGACTTCATGATGGGGGAGTATCTAACGCAGGAGACCTAATTTATATTAACAAAAAAGTAAGTAAAATATTAATTTACAAATTTATAATTTTTTTAAATGCCATAAAAAAGCTCAAAAGATCCTATAATTCTAAATTTTAAACTAAATCCATTATAAAAAGGAGCTAGGTATATCATTCTTCTAAAAATTGAGTTTCATTCTTAATTTGTGTGGTTTTTATATTATGGGAGCGAGCCTTAATTACTCGTAGTTGTATAACATTTTGAATTATTGCCAAAAATAAATATCATAAATTATATTTTAAAGCACTTATATGTAAATATTTTAATCCCTTTATGTAATTGTACTTAGAGTGTTACAATTTTCTATTAATCCCACATTTTTATGCTATTTAGACTTTTGTCAGAATCTAGCTAAATAATTTAGAATTATATCCGCAAATTTTGTTTTTTTTTCTGGCTCTATTATAATAATATGTAAATATTCTTACCCAGTCAGAGTGGTTTTCCTTTTCAGCAGAGGAGAACTTGCATTCACCGAGAATGTTCCAGAGCTTGATTTCTCTTTCGGCACCAGCGGAGAGAATTTGTCTGTTATCAGGGGAGAAGGCAACGGAGTAGACTTCAGATTGGTGACCAACGAATCTCTTGTAGGTGGTACCAGTTCTTAAATCCCACAATCTGAGGGTCTTATCCCAAGAAGAGGAGATGGCGAAGCAGTTTTCTTGAGAGAGGGCCAAGTCGGAGACGAAGTGGTTGTGACCAGTGAGGGCCTTGTGGGGGATACCGAAGTAACCGTTTTGTTCTTCTTCGTACAATTTCCAGATCATGACGGTCTTATCTCTGGAACCGGAGATCAAGACAGGGGAGTCTTCGTTTTCCTTTTGGGAGAAACCAGCGACGATGGAAGTGACCCAGTCAGAGTGACCTTCGAGGATACCTCTCTTGACAACTTGGATATCTAAAGATGAATTATCAGCCATTTTAATTTTTGTTTGTTTTTGTTTGCTTTTTCTAAATTTTTAATTTCCTGTGGATTAATTTATTATGACTTTGTAAATCAATACTTTTTAATACCTTTTATATTCTTTTTTCTTATGATCTTTAGTTCCTTTACATTCATATTTGATAGACTGTATTAACTCAACTATCGTATCTTAATTATTCCCATTAATTTTGTACTCTCTAACTTTGAATTTATAATGTCTTATCATTCATTCATTTACTAATTCAATAGCTTCTCTCCTTAGTATGTAGAAGAAATTTAAAAATATTTATATCAAAATAAATCATTTTATTTTACAAAATTATAACTAAAATAAATTTTATCTTCTTTAAAATTTTATTAATCAAGTGAATATTAAAAATAGAAAGGAAAATATATCATTTTAATAAGAAGGTTTGCCAATAATATATTTTTTTTTAAATAAATATAAATTTATTTTTTAAGAATGATTTTTCAAATTAATTGATAAAATAATTAACAAATTAAAAAAATTTTATGTTTATAAAAAAAATAATAAAAAAATAAATGAATAATTGATTAATTGAGTGATTTAAAACAATCTAAAAAAATTTTAAATCAATTTCAGCAACATTGTTTGCTTATTTGTAAATTTGAAAAATGAAAGAACCAGTTTAAATCCTAAATATGAATTTTCGCAGTCAATCATTCATTCATTTAATGATAAAATATAGTTACAAAATAATAAAGATTTATGTAGATTAAGTTCAAGATAGAATCTTAATATTAACATCAAATATATAAATTCAATAATTAACAATAAATATTTATTAGCAAATCAAAATTTTTCAAAATAATCATTCAATTCACAAGTTATCAAAATGAGCTCTAAAGATAAAGATAAAAAAAAATCAAGTAGCAGTAAGGACAAAAAGGAAAAGAGTGTAGACAAGTCTAAGCTAGATAAGTCTGAATCAAAGAAGAAAGATAAAGAAAAAAAGGATAAAGACAGTAAGAGCGTCAAGAGCAAAGATGAAAAATGTAATTTATTCAATATCAAATTTTTAATTAAAATGTTTAAAAGCAGCAAGTAAGTAAAAATTGTTATTTTATTGCTGAATTGTTGAATAACTTTGTTGCATTTAATATTTGCATAAGTTTAAATACCCTCTTTTTAAATAGCTGATATTTCTGAAATTGAAGGAGACATTATTGCATAACAAATTCCTGCTTAATAGTAATAACCAATTATAGCTTAATAGCCATAACCAGAATAAATGTAAATTATTCTTACTTAATTAATTTATCTAAAAGAGAAATCAATAATATATTATAAAACAGTGATACAAAAATTTGTGTGCATCATGGAACAGAGTTAGTATATTTTTGTGAAAGTTGTGAAGAACCAATATGTAGAAATTGTACTAAACTAGGTCCTCATAATAATTAAGTAAATATAGTTTTATTCTAAATAAATATTTATTTAAGAAATAAATTTCAAAATTTAATTAAGTGAAAATATGGGATTTTATAAAAATTTTTTTTAAAGCTTCATAGAATAAATACTTTAGAAGAAGCATTCAAATCAAGAGTAACTAAACTAAGAGAGGCTATTCAAGGTAATCTTTTGGAAAAAAGGGATCAGTTGCTTGCTCAAATCCATAGAATAGAATATAGAATAGAAGAAATTAAATATGTCAAAACCATCATAGAGCGTGATGCTAGGAATGAATACAGTGGTATTATTGAAAGACTTAAGAGTGCTGAAGGATAAAAGCTAGCAATATTGCAACATGAAATGGGAGAGCTCTAGAAAGATTTAGATCGCATTAATGATTTAGGACATACCTTTAGATAGTTTGTAAATAAACCAGAAGATCCTATAGATTTTCTAATAAGAGCAAGATCATTATATGAAAATATAGAATTTTTAGTTGCTAAACCTTTTAAAGGTATTCAAATAATTAATTATCTAAAAAAAACAAATAATTTTATATTCTTTTTACAATTAAAACAGTCAATATCGAGGTTTATCCTTATGATCTGCCTAGAGAATTAACTGACATGAGATTGTAGCTTCAAAAAGCTTCAGCTTAATAAGCTTTAATTGATTTTAAAAATGAAGTAATTTGGAAAATACTTGAAGAAAGAAAAGAATAAGAAGAAGAAGTTAAAGCAAAGATGGAGAAAGCAGCTTCTGAAGAAATAAATGAATGGGCAAAGTAAATTTTTTGGAAGCAAACTTTGACATAATTAATTAAATAATTTAAAAACTAGGTTAGTAGATAAATTTTCAAACGAATTAAAGAGGTATCAACTTATTTGCTACTATTGTGGTGTTGCTATGGATGATAAATCTATTAATAAAAAATGCTAGAGTAATTCTAGAATTCCAGAAAATTGTAACAAAATGATATGTTTATTTTTATATGTTTAATAATTAAAATTAATGAAATATAGTTGATGGTTACACAGTGAAAATACCAGATGCAAAATATAATGGAAATTTAAGACACTTTTTTGGAAAGCCTAAAGCTGATTATGTTGATTTAGTTAACACAGCAAAATCTTAAGGCTAGAAAAATTCAAGAGGAAAAATTCCTTTTATTCATTTTATTGAAGTTTAAATGAATCTGATTAAAAAATTATGTCAAGAAAGAGGAATAGACTTATCTAAAATATTTTAAGAACATGATAAATAAGGAAAAGGTATGTTTTTTAAATCAAATCTATATTCAAATAATTTTAACTATTCTAAAAGGTGTAATAAATTAGATTCAGTTTGCATATATTCTAAGTGAAATTATAGGCCTAAGTGCAAGTGACTCAGATTAGATAAGAAAATTCTTTGACCCATAAAGTAAAAACACTATTGAATATCAAGATATACTCAGAGTAATGGATGATACTTCTCTAGTCGAAAAAATTTACTTAGATGAAAATCAATAAAATCAAGAATAAGTATGAAAATATAAGAATTTTCTCTCTTGATTCTTATAATTTAAATTAAATTTATACATATAATATATAATTTATTGGTAAGTATGCACATAGATAACCGGCTAAATTAAGCATAATTTATAGATTAAAGACTTTAAATTGAAATATCTTCTTTAAATTTAGGATTTTATTACCTCAATAAAAAGATTTCAAAAAAAATTTTGTTTATCTTTTTCTGTGAATTCATTTTTAAAAATATTTTTTAATTTTTAAAATGAAAATTATCTAAAAATATTTTGTTATTATTTATTTATTTATTTATTAATTTAGATTTTATCGAAATTATAAATGATCTTCATTCGAATTTAAAAAAAAGTATGCCTTATAATTATATAAATCTTGTTGTTTTCTTTGTTTGACTAGCAAATAAATAGTTTAAAGAAAATTCAGATATTTATTAATGTTAACAAAATTAAATTATTTATAAAATTAAAAGTAAATTTATTATCGGATTTAATTATTAATTAATTAATTCATTATTTAACAATTTCTAAAAAATTTGTGTTTTAATTTTTTTCATAGAATTAATTACAAATAATTATTAATTAATCAAATTTTTTTGATAATTTAATCAATTTAAAAAATAGAGAAAATTATAAAATGTCTTCTGGATATTAATAGCTCTAAAGCTTAGACGAATCTTCAGTTCACATTCCTATTTAGCAAGAAAAAACATAGGAATTGTAATTAAAATATCGCTTTTTCTAAATAAACAAAGTTAAACACATAAAATATTTTAAAAGGTCAACTTTTATAGGTAAGGAATAGCATTCACATGGTAGTCATAATCACGATCATGGTCATGATCATTCTCACTCTCATTCACATGGAGGTCATACCCATAGTCATGGTGGAAGACCTTGCAATTCTAGCCATGGAGTTGCTTAAGCAGCTGTCCCATAAGCTTAAGGTGGAAAGTGTGGTCATAATCATGCACCTGGATAATCTTGCAGAACAAAATCTAACTCCTAAAAATATTTCATTAGATTTTTTACAATGTTTATGCCATGCAACTGTATAGTCTTAGAATATTTCGTAAAATTTTAGTTTATTTTATCATTTTTTGAAATTTTTTAAAACTGTAAAAAGATCAAATGAAAAATTATAAAAATTTATTATTTCAATGATTTGAATCATGTTATTTAATTGATGCTAAAGTAGTTATTATATTTTAAATTCTAAATAGTGGTTGAATGACACTTTGAAAGGCAATGATTTTGAATACTAAAGCTCAACAGCTTTTATGCTTGTGATTTTGTTTTTGTGCTTCGTTACTTATTACTAATGTATATCGATCAATAATAATCCTACTAAAAGAGTATTTTGCATATTTTTTTATTTATTTTTGAAGAGAAATTTCAATTAAATTATGTAAAACTCATTAGATTAAATCTTTTATTCAAATTAAACATAAAATAGCAACCTCCTCCTTGTGATCCCAGTTTAGTAGACCCCTTATACAGAAACGATTCTGTATGTAAAGAGTGCAATGCTTGGAAACCTATGAGAGCTAAGCATTGCAGAACATGTGGTGGTTGCTAATTAAGAATGGATCACCACTGCCCCTGGATTACAAATTGTGTTGGGTTGAGAAATAACAGATCATTTTATCTTTTCACTATATATATGGCTGTAATAATTTATTTGAAGATTATAATGAGAAAATAATTTATTTTTTATTTAAAATTAAGGCAGGTGCAGTTTAATATTGCTATAGAACTTTAATTTATTTCCAATATTTAAATGCTTTGGATAATTTTTGGATAAATAGCTCATTCTTTTATCTTTATTGGTTAGCCACTACTGTTATCTTAATTCCTATAACTATTATGCTTGTAGGCTTGACAGTATTCCATTCAATGCTTCTTGTTAATAATGCTACTACCCTTGATATTATGGGAGGTTTATCTTTGAGCTTACCATTTTCTCCTCAACAATCACTTCCATAGAATAAGAGATCAGTAAAAATTATAATTTAACTAATTAGACTTAATAATTTTAAAAATAATAGGTCAATCTCTTTAACAGAGGTCTTATATCAAATGTAAGAGATTTCTTTAGTGGTGATATCTTTTTATTCTGGTGGCCTTTTACAACCTATACACCTAACGACGGTAATTTTGGAAATTAAAGTATTATATTAATCGTTAATTAAATTACATAGGTACATCTTATGAGATGGCTCCTCCTTGCTCTTTCAATGAGATTTAAAATATAGTCTAAAAATAAATTGTTAATGAAGATGGAATTGACCTAAATTAATTAGTCACTGATTTTGATAGAAGAATAGAAGCTGAAAAAGAGCGTTTGAAAGAATGCAATCTCCAAGTAGACAACAAAATCTTTGAATTATGGAAAGATTTACAAGCTTAAAAGGAAGAACAATAGAAAAAAGAAGCTTTGATTTAGTTAAAGTAACAACAATAATAATAATAATAAAATTAAGGCTAAGCTTCTGAAGCTGTTGTTTAAAATTAAAATGAAATTAATATTTTTTGATGACAACATTTATTGAGGTTTCAAAAAAAATGTGTATTCATTGTTTCAATAATTATAAATAAATAAGCAAATAAAAAAAAGATAAAAAATTTAACACTTTTATTTCTTCAACTCAATTCAAAAAATTTAAGTAGAAAAATTAATTTAAAATTTCTTAGCAAGTAAAAATAGATATTTTAATTAATTAATTAATGAGTTTAATTTATTAATTTATTCAAAAATAAAACCAAAACAAATTTTAAAAGCTAAGTTTTATGTATGATTATTTAAAAGTGTAGTTCTTAAACTATTTAAAATGTCATATAATTGATTTATAGTAATTAATTTTGAATAGTATAATTAAAATTTTATCTATTTTTAAATTAGACATATAATATTTTTATGGATTTTAATAGTCCCAAATCTACTAATAAAAAAATACATATCCATTTTAGTTAAAGTTTACATTTTCATATTTTCATGCAATTTATTCAGATGATATTTTAACTTTTTAAATATTTTTTGTAATATTTTCTATATTAATTAATTGAAAGTATAAATAAACAAGTAAAATAATACTTCATAGCTATTTTTCATAAATATCAAATGATCAATTTATCAGAAATATTAATTAAAGTTAATATAAACAAGTTTGTTGTCAATCCTTTTATAATGATCACAGAAGTTAAATAAATAAGTTATTAAATTTTGTAAATGACTAAATAATTTATCAGAATTAATAAATGAAGTGAGACCTTTAAATAAGGAATGAAACTGATTTATTTAAAATTGAAATTAAAATAATTTAAATTCAACTATTAGTATTATTTGATAGTTTTTTTGCTATTTTTTCAGCGTATTTACTGGGATTTAAAATAAAATCATAATATTTACTAAATCTCCACTTTTCATTTTTTTTCTTTGATTTATTATAAACCTCTTAATTTTTTTGCATATTTGAAAAAAACACATTCAAAATCTCAGATTTATTAAGCTTTGATTTTTGGTTTACTTTTTATTAAAGGCTTTCAAAGAATTAGAATTGCTGATGCTTTCTTTTTAATTAATGATAGTGGCCAAATATCAACTTATTTTGCTTATCTTGATAAGTCTCTTCTGTAATTATTTTCTTATTCTCTTCTTTTTACCTTAATAAACTTTCTAATTCTTATTTTTTTCTTTCAAACAACTCGTAATTCTTATCTTCCTAAGTTAAATTTCTATCTAAATTTAGCAAATCAATATTATTTTTTTGAATTGGTTTTTCTTCTTTCGATATGCTCAAAAATTAATTTCTTCTTTTTTGGTTATTAAAATCGTTAATGAATAATTTTATATGACTTTAGTAAAAATTTTAGTTCTCTTTTATTGGTTAAGTTTAAATTTTTTAAGTTGTATTGTTTAATGATTAGGATTTTCTATTTTTTGTGGTATCAATTTTACATCTTTAATAAATATTTTATATAAACTAAGTTTCATTTAAATTTATATCTTAGCTATTTGATTGAAAAGATTACTACTTTTATTTCAATTATAATAGCGGATGCTAATTAAATAGAGTGGTCATTGAATTTTATCCAGTTTGTACTTAATCAATAGTAATCTAAGATGAATTTAAAGAAAAATAATTTTTTTAGGATTTTAATTACTTGATATTTTTTTTATAATTAGGTTAAATAAAAAACATTTAATTAAGATCCATTTCTTATTTTTTAATTGTTTAATTTTCATTTTAATTCTGGTTATTTGCCTTCTCCATATTATTAAGTTGATTAGGAAATTAATCTTTATAATAAGATTTTTCATAGAATTAAGATTGTTCGATAATTTAATCTTAATCAGTGGGTTAATCATTGAATTACAAAATGAAATTGTCTTATTATTTTTAGTGGTTAAAGCTGTTGTTGAAACCATATCCACTCATAGAAAGTGCAGTACTGTTCTCTTTTGGAGAACTTTCATACCTCTCATTATTTTATTAAATAGATACATGAAAGCTTTTCTAGCTTATAGATTTTTCTAAAGGTGGAAATTTCTAATTTTTTTCATTCAAATTGTATTAAAATGGCTAAAATTGGTTAAAATTATAGTGAGTACTTTGATTTTTACTGTAAAAAATTTGATTTTAACATTTAGGAGAGTTGAGAACATCTGTGAAGCAACTAATGCTCCTATAATTAACATGATCCTTTATATCTTATTAAGATTCTTAAATATTTTTATAAGTTCCTTCTAAATTTTTACGATTTTCAAATATTTAGTTTAGCTTTGTTGTATAAAAATTATCTGCTTTATTTTAATCTGACTTTTTAAACACTGATACTTAAGGTTATGATGATATAAGTAGATCATTAAGCTATTTTTTCAAAGATAATATTTTTTTATTAGTAGGCTCTGCCATTATATAGCTTTTAAACTGTTAGCAAATTTGATTCTATTTCACTTCTTAAAATTCATTAAAATTTTCGTTAATCTAAATTTATTTCTTAAACCTCTCTGAAACAACTTTGCTATATGAATAAACTTTTCTATAAAATTCCTAATTTGAAATAATTTAAAAAATTAGTATTTTTTTTTTTGAATAAATTAATCAATTAAAAGATTGATTTAAGCTAAAAATAAATTACTATTATAAAAATAATAAATATTTTATTTAAAATTTTAGAATATAATAAATATAAAATAATTTTACATTTGAGTTCATTACAATAAGAATTCCTAAACTGCTTTCACATTATATTGAATATTTTCTTGAAACTCTAAGCAGTATTTCCTCAAATCCAAAAACAAAACCTGCACTTACAATTGCAATCTTTTATTTTTTAAGTAAAATATATATAATGAAAATATAAATCATTAAATTTACTTTCATTAGCTTATTTTACTTGACTTGCTATTTACAAAAGCTAAAAGGAAATTATTATTCGTTATCTTTATTAGTTAGCTCTTTTTGATGAATGCATTAATTTTTAAACAACTAGTTTAAAAAATTTCATAAAATAAAAAACAAATTGAATAATAAATTTATTACTGAAAATTCTCCTTCTTTAACAATGTAAAAAGCATCTGATTCTTACCCTTACTTGAAAACTATTTAACCCCTTTAGTACTCTTTAATGTAAGAATTGTAATAGATTTATTTCATAAAATTATCTTCAAGGCCACTGAATAAAGCAATTTTAGAAAAAAAATTTATATTGTGCTATATTTTTTATGTTTCTTTGTCCTCTATGTTAATTAAAATCCATAAGTATTTACAAAACAAAGTAATTTATTTTACTCAGCACATTTAAAAAATCTTGTTTCACTATAAATACTAAATAGGTAAGCTCTTTAGCTTTAATTGTAGCTGCTCTCGGAGTATTTTTGCCTTTGAGAAGAGATAACTCACCAAAAGAATCTCCTACAAATAAAAAAATTTTATTTGATAAAAAAAATATAAATTAAAAACACATTTGATTAAATAAAATATTTATTATTTTTTAATACCTTTTTTAAGGACTTTAATTTCTCTTTATATAAAAACCGTTTCGTTTGAGTTTGAGGAGGAAAATTTTACTCCATCATTATTAAACTCGTTTTGTTACTAATTATCCTTATTTTACTAAACAGATTTTGATAGACCAGAAGTTTTGGTGTCTTTCGAGAGTATTTATTTTGATGTGTTATTGTGTCTTAAATCTTATATTTACTTATTCTAAGGTAATGGCTATGATAAAATTAGTGGGGAAGATTAAATGTTTAATTAATTAATTTTTTAAGATCTGTTAGCTGAAATTATTTTTGAAGAAATTTTCTAAAATTAAGCTAACTTAGACTAAGGAACACTAGTCTATCTCTCTCTAATGTGTTAAGGACTCTAGCTTTTTTATTTCTAAAGAGATTGATTTTAATCACTTTAAGAGTCCTTTATTACTGAATCTTACTATAACTAGTTTAGCTAACTAAAGCCTTATGGATCTTATTAGTTTTTTAATATGCCTGACTTTTTCTTTTCTAAATAATGGTTAGGACTTACTTCTTTCAAATTCGAATTTTTTTAAAATTTATTGTTTTATGAAGACTAATCAAGCTTTTAATTTACTTTGCTTTAATTTAATACTTTTTTTCTTAAATCAGCTTGAGGAACATCAGCTTCATCCATAGCCTACTCATAAGAACTCACTAAAACTGATACAGATCCTTGGATAATTATATAAAATTCCTCTCCAATATCACCTTAAAATTATATAAAACGATTTGTTAAATTAAGTAAAGGAAATAAATAAGCAAGCAAGCAATAATTAATCAGAGTTTTTAGCTTAAAATTAAAAATGATTTAAATAAACTAAAAAAACAAACATTAATTATTTAAATTTTATTATTTTTATTGATAAAATATGATATGAAGCAATTGATTGGTTGATTTATTAAAGCTGATTCATGAAACAATTAAAATTTTTTAGAAAAAAAATGTTAAATAAAATGTTAAACCTTTAATTAATTTACCTTACTAAAACAATATTTAGCCTGTTTATATTTCTTTAAATCTTAAATATTAACAGCATTAATAGACTGTTTAAATTCCATGATTTTTTTCCAAATCCTCAAAAAATCTAACTCTTTTTAAATTTTTATATAATTATTTGCTTTCTACAATTGACCTATTAGAAGGATCCTTATTTACAATTTGCATGAATCTCTTTTTATATAAGTATTATTTTATTAGGGTTAGATTTTAAAATATTTTATTCATTTGTATATTAAACAATTAATTATTCTTACCTAAAAAGACTTTTCTTCATTTAATGTTTCTTAAATTGCAATCTATGGTTCAATATTTACTTCCGACTCTAACTAAATTTGCTAGTTTACTTCACTAGCAGCATTCTTTTTATAACTTGAGAAATTTTTTTCTTATTAATACTATGTTTAGCTAGCTTTTTAATTAAGTTGATCAATTATTCTAAAAGATGAGTGTCTAGCAGTTTTTTAAGATTTTATTTTTATCTATCCATCTGATGATACTTCCTTATCAAAAGAAGTGTCCTAATCTTATTCTGCAGATAAAATACTTAAACTTTTCCTGAAATGTGAAGGAGTACTCATTTATAATAAAAATTTCTACTTTTCTATTTAAATTAAAGTACCCTTTAATCTAAAGTAAAATGTTTTCTATTAATCCCTTTTATACTAATTTATTTTTTTCAAAATCAGATAAAGTAGAAGTAAATAAATGAGCTTATATTTTCTAATGAATCAATTAATCTTAAAAGAGGATTATTAAATTTCAAAATTAATTTTATAATAAATTAACATAAATACAAATCAATATTATTTGAGATACTCTTTATCAATTTTTAAATGAAAATTTAGCACTTGAAAATAAATATTGCAAAAAAAAATTTTTATCTTTACTTGAATTTAAATGATTCGTACATAGCTTTATTTCAATTAAAAATTACAGTTTTTACTTGAAATAAATTTTGAAAATAAAATAATTAATGAATAAAAAAATAAATTTTATTTAGAAAATATGTTTTAAAAAAATATATTATAATTAAGACACATTTTTAGAATACTATATAAAATAATTGACACAAAAGTTAGGGAATAATTTTATTTTATGTTTATTTATAGTTGTAGATATTTAATTATTTTTTATTTAGTTATTTATTTTTTTATTTAAATTACAAGTTTGTTTGTTTGTTTAAATGATTGCTTTACCTTATTACTAAATTTTCTCAAACATTTAATAAATAATTATCACTACCAACACTGAAAATTTCATTTGCTGAGACCAGTTGTTAAAGAATTTGGCTTTTATGTAAAATAAAAAATAATTAATTTTTACTTTTTTGTTGCAAAAATGATTACTTGATTTGAACTTGATTGAGTTAGCTTTAGAAAAATTCAATTATCTTACTCTTAGGGATTTAATCATTAGGATTGTGTTTCAAGATTTACCTCATCAATTCTAATACCTATTTAATTGAATTAAGTTATTTTTAATATTTTTAAGTATTAATATTAAAGTTCTATTAATTACTTATTCTTTAGGCTACTAATTGCGATCAATTTAATAATGCTTTTATTAGAAAAAAATATATTTAAGAAAATATTTTTATTTCTTAATTAATTAATTTATTTATTTTTTATTAATTAATTTATTACGACTTTTTGAGCAGAAGCATTGTGATTATTATGAGCTTTATCATTTGTCATATGCATGAAGTCTTCAATACCATGTTTTCTTTAAAGATATCTCAAACATAAATCTAAACCATGTCTACTAATTTCGTTAGCATCATTAACAATAGAAAAATAAAGCAATTATATCTAGGCATTTTTTCTCATTTTAAGCATAGCTCTAACATATTTATGTCTGTTTCCATTATTTCTAATTATTTGTAGAATATTAGAATATTATTTTAACTTAAGAAAAATTAATTTATTACTATAATTCAATTTCGTAAGCTTAAACAAATTCAGGTAACTCGTCTGACATTTTAGACTTTTGGATAACTACTTCTATGCATCCTGTGCTATCAGATAGCTTACCCATTATTTTAGGAGAATCATTGATACTTTAGAGAAATTCAAATTTAGCAGTAATAATAGCATTTTCAAATGCGCCGTACCATTCATAGTGATTACCAGAATGGGCTTATGGGTTTTCCTTTGCAGCTTTAACTATCTAGTTGATCATAAAACAATTTAAGGGTACTGTAATTTAAGGTATTTTTTCTGCCTATATAATTTTTGGATTATTTTAGTGTTAATATAATTTGATGTTATTTTTAAAAGCATTAAAAAAGTACTTGTTGCTTTTAGGCTGATTAATTATTGCCTGAGTTGTTATCAAATCCTCCTTGAACTCTATTACTCATTTTTGTTTGTATGAATTTTTTAGTTATTTCAAACTTTGCTATATAAACTTTTTTTTAGTAATTATTTATTAAATATTTTTTTTCTTTTGAATTTTTTTAGATAATTATAATTTGTTAGATATATATATCTTTTTAATATCAAAAAGAAAGCGCGCATTATTTTAATAAATATTTTAGATTTTATCAAACTCTAATTAACTATAAATGAGAACCGCTAAAATGTTAATTATTTGAAAATTTATACTAATAATTTATCTCAGAAAACATAAGTAGAATTATGAAATCATCAAAATTAAAATAAAAACCTTGCTTGTGCTTTAATTCATTTTTAATTTTGAGATAAAAATATTTTCTTGAATTAATTTATATCAATCTATTTTAATTGATTCCCATTATTCTAATTTACTTTTATTTTAAGTACATTAAAATTCAGATTGTAAAAATTTATTTTTATTTTAATTAGCTAAAAATAATTTTAAATAAAATATTTAAAGCTTTTTTATCGAAAACTAAAAAAACATAAATATTGAAAATTTTGAGTTTCAAAAATAAATTTTGATGTTATCTTCTATTTAAGATAGGAAGAAGAATAATCTTTATGAATTATTATTTTATTTATTTTACACTATTATAATAGGAAGTACTAATCACAATAAAAATAGAGTTGTTAAAGAATATAGCAATTTATGAAAGAATTCATTTAAATTTTTTCATTAAATTTAAATAGGCATCTATTTATCTTTTTATCAATGAATCTATTTTTTAAAATTAAAAATCATATATTGAATAATATATGATTAATATACAAAATGCAAACCTAATTTATTCATTTTAAAATAGTTGAATGATCTAAACGAATCAATTTTTTTTATTTATTTATTGATTTGAATTTTGATCCAATTTTCATTTTTATGAAAAAATAAGTTTTTGAAAAAAAGAATAAGAAATTAAATACATTTTCAATAAAAAAGCTTAACAATTAACAATTAATTATAAGAAATTGACAAATAAATTAAATATAATAGTGCTTTTTCTGAATCAAGGATATCATTTCAAAACACACAAGCATTTTTAAAAATGAATAGTATTAATTTTGAGATGATCCACAAAGGATTAAAACCATCTCGCTCAGCAAGATAATTGCAAGATACTCTATCTTAAGAATTTTTGATAAGCTCAGAAACATCAAATTAAACGCAAACATTAAAGTTTGGATTAACAGCTAATTAGTCAAATAAATAATCATTTAGACCTGGAGGAGATAGTGATGAGTGCAATACTCACCATTCTGAGGAAGTTACTTAAATTGATGAGTGCACACTTTTTCCATCTCACAATCTTAACATTAGACCTGTAGCAGAAATGAGAATGAACAGCTAATTTTCAGAAAATAGTATGTTTTTATTCATTTATCAAAACTTAGCAGTCATCATTTAGAATTTTGAAATGTAATTATTTTACAAACATAATAGAATGTCAATAAGACTCATATGAAGGAATAGATGATTTGAATAAATAAAATTGTAATCAATATTAGCTTTCTAGCTCATAGGGTTTTGATTAGCTTAAAAGGCGCAGCAATAGTAAGCCTCCCCTTTCAAGGAACAACTCTACAAACAATAAAGACGAGATAACTTAATTTAGAGGTAAGATTACAATTTTATAAAAAATGTAGGATATATTATAAAAAATGCAAAGATTTTTTAGCTAATTAATTCATTTAATATTTGATATTTCACCCTTCTTAACAACAAAAAAAAATAATAAATTTTTAACAAAATAATTTCAAAAGGAACAGATCATTGTATTGCTATGAATAATTCAAATAGTAGAAAAAATAGCTTGGCTACTTTAGGATGCGGAGCAATAAATAACAATAATTTCTAACTAAATGATGAAGATAATTATGTAAAATAAAAAGTATTGATTAATAACAAGGATCTCTTGTAATATAATGTTATGCACTAATAATAGCTAAATTTACCAAATCCTTATTTAAGCAACAACAACAATATGTAAAATTTCCAACCACAAACTATAGAATCGAATAGGATAACTCCAAACAATCCATATCCAGATAATCCACTTATTGAGCTTCAACAAAATCTTAAAAATAATTTTAAAGCTTAAGAGGCTTATAACTTTAAGCAAGATAAGCATAATTCTTCTATTTAATAATAAGAGAGCAATTAAAATGATTGGATTAGAGATTATTAAGCTGCTAACATTCCTATACCTCTTTAAAGAGTTTCTTCCCCCAAAGGATTAGTGTAGTACTAGTAGGATAATAAATATTTTATTGCTTCTTCCTTATCAAACCATTGTAAATATTTATATTTTTAGGGAAAAAACTATTTTAATTTTAAATCAATTTTAGATATTACAAACTGATTTTTTAAAATGCAGTTTAATCTTAATTTTAATTGAGAAGATAAAAAATCTGTATTAGTTAAGCTTATTTCATTTAAATTAATAAATCAAAAATATCTTCCAGATTTTTATTTTATTTTGGAATGTTAACGAATTATTTAAAAATAAATAATTTGAATTTTTTTTATAATTTGATCTTAACTAACTATTTCAATACTAAGATAATTATTAAATATTTATTTATTAAAATTAAGAACAAAATAAGTAAAACGAAGATTAGGAAAGCTTAAAGCCTGAGGATTTGTTAATGAGTCAATAAGAATATACCAGATTTTAAGAAGTATAAAAATTGATAAACCAATAATAGCAATTATAGTAATAGCAGTAAAGCACCTAAAATAGAGACCTTTAATTTTAAAATTCTGTGTAAAATAATGCTAACGTGTAAAACTAATATCAAAGTGCACAATCCATATAAAATAATAACCAAACACCTTTTGCATCTTTAAATAGCGATATGTAAAATTCTCAGAATCCTACTTACTAACCTGCCCAGTTTAATTTTAATTAAACTTATTCTTTTTCGAATAGCTAATTTAGATAATGCACTATTCCCATTTCTTAGTAGTAGAATTAAATACATTCTTTACAGGAATCTGGATTCAACCCAGAATAACAATTAAATTCTATATCTTCATCATCGATTTTAAATATATAGTCTCCAAAAACAAATGGCACTACAATTATCATTCCTTAACAAGCTGCCTCATAAAACATCTAAATTTAATTGGAAAAAGATGAAACTAGCTTGCATATTTAATAGCAGCAAAAAGAAAATTAAAGCAATAACCTGTCTAAAATAGAGCAAAATAAAAATAATACAGTAATACCTAAAAAAACTAATTTTATGAAGAGAAATTAAAGTTTGAGTTACTTAAGCTCAAGCCCAATCAATTAAAAAGTCGAAGGTTCTTAGATTCCCCAATCTTAGAATAATAAAAGTAGCAATTAGAATAGAGATAAGTAATTGAATAATCTCAGTATGAATTAAACTCCAAATTCAAAAACATCAAATAGATGCATTACACCTCAGCCTCAACCAAGACTAGAAAGAAAATTAAGTGAAAATCTTTTGCTTGATAAGAGTAAAAAAAAAGTAGAATCTTTTGAAGATTAGTAATTGAAAGAATGTACATTTAAGCCATAAATCAATAAATCTAGTCAAAAAATGTAAAGATCTTTTAGTTAATTTTTAGAAACTTAAGTGAACTACAACAAATATAAATCTGACAAATAGAAAATAGTAAAAAATTTATTATTTATAGCCAATCTAATCTAATGCTTTATATTATATTAATTAGCTATAAGAATAAGCTCATAATGCTTTGAATGTTCAAGTTAAAGATAAACCTGACATTAACAAAAATTCTCAAAGAATTATTGAATAGAAAAGAAATAATGACTATCATAGCTTGTTTGGAGCAACTTAAATTGTTGATTAGCAGGTAGTCTATAATAGACTCTACTCCATTCATAAAAGGAACGAATCTAACAATTCCTAAATTAGGTTTGAATTACATAGAAATTACTATTTAATTAAATAAAATATTTAAAATATTAGGAAGAAGATAGAAGAAGAAGCTAACAAAGAAAATACTTTCAAGCCTTAGATACACTAGAGATCAAAATCCATTAAGAGAGATGAAAAAATACAAGATTTATTATACAAAGATGCAGTTAGAAGAAATAACATCTAATAAAATATTTCAAACTAAAAACCTCGTTCAAGCAGCAAATATACAAGTGAGAAAAGCGAAAAAATACTTCTTAAAAAATTCATTAAAGAAATGGATTACATCTTTCAATCGTTATCAGTGAAATAAAATAAGAATAATTAAAACTATTCTTAGAATACATCTCTATAAAATTCACCTCTTAACTCATTAAATAATTTAGATATGGCATCTCTATTTGAGGTAATGATCAAAAGTGGATTTGTAAAATATAACTCCAATTCTACAAATCCTGATATGATTGTAATGGAAAATGAGAAAAAGCTCATTTTCTTAATATGGACCTTGTTAGGTGGCAAACACTATAATTTTATCTCAAAGCAAAACCTTTTACTCTTTTTAATTATAATACTCAATCTAGATAAATCTTTTGACTCATCTGAAAGATCTTTACTTCTAAAAGAACTTTCATTTTCTATGTCTAACTCTTAGTTATAAAATACTTCGCCTTTGTCTTCTTAAGCAAGTATCAAAAATTTTAAAAATTTTGAAGCTTTTACAAACATAATATCTAGTAATTTAAATTCTCATCCTCATTCTGCATAAGTTTCTCCTCTAAATAAATCTAACTCTTCAGGTTTTTCTGCCTCTTCTCATGCATCTAACCTCCATAATTAGCTAAATTAGTCTCTTATGAAAAGCTACTCAGAAAATTACATTAATCTTTCGCTTGGAAGCTTTGATGAAAAATAGCAATGGTAAATAAACTTTAGTCATAACATAAAAAAAATTAATAATTTTTTAAATAAGGATTATAAGTGAAGAAGATAAATAAGTAATCAGATAGGCTTTTGAAATCTTTTATAGAAATAGATTAAGCTATGAAGAACTTAAGTCTTAAAAAAGTCCAGTGGACTAAGGCTGCACCTTTCATCCAAATATTTTATAAAATTCTAAAAGTATGGCTAATTAATACAGAGAGAAGCTCTTAATATAAACAGCTAATTTGCTTGAAAATAAAGTAAAAATAAATAATTTATTATATTTTTTAAACTGAAGTTTATTCTTAATTTTTTAAAGGAAATTTAGTACTAAGTGCCTAAAGATGGAAAAATTTAGCATTCAGATTTCTTGATTTTATAAAAGAGAGCACAAGAAATATAAAACAAAAATAAATAAGAGATCGTAAAAGAAAAAGAGCTAATTGAGTGTACTTTTAAGCCTGCCATCTACTCAAAGGCTAAAAAAGAAAAAGAAAATGAAAAAATAAATATTGCTGAAATAGGTTTCAAAAAAACTGAAGAGCTGTATCAACAAAGTAAAAATAAAGAGATTAAATAAGTGAAAAACAACAATGATTTAGACTACGAAAAGCAAAAAAATGAATGCACTTTCCAACCTGAAATCATAGACATTCGCTCTAAAAAAATATATGACGGTGGAATATTTGCTAAAAACATCAACAAGGTAATAAATTAGATTAATATTTTTAATTATTTTTTAATTTTCTAATCACTAAATAAATAGACCATAGAAAGGATGAGAAATGCTAGAAAAGAAAAAGAATTAATCAATGCTATGAAATAGAGAGGATATAATTCTGTGAA